CAGCAGGATAGAGATGAATACCAGTAAGTTCCTCAAAGTGGAAACAAAGGTTTGTTGTACAGGTTTGAACGTTTGGAATTGTTTGATGGTGGCTGGCTTGCAATTGCCTTCTAGAAAAAGGCTCATCCAGCCTTGAGGCCTTCACTTAGCGTGTTTCAAAATGTTTGCTACTTTTATTAGCAATTATATTCAATGGTATAAACCGAAGTGATCAGATAATGTTTGTTTTTAACAGAATTGAACAGGGCTCTGTGGCTGCGTTCATCCAAGACTTACGTTGGTTGCACTGAATTCACCAATGTTAATTCTGATAAAGTTCTTGCAGCAGTCCTGGTTGACTGCCAGTTTAAAAAAAGACCACATCCAAAGTTTTTGTGTTCCTGCGGTGCTTTAAAGATGAGGTGGCCTGTGCAGTGTAACTAAAAGAATAGCTGTTTCCTTACACCTTGAAATCATAGGATGCTTCTGAGGCTTTGAACATAGACAATATTTTTGCCTGAGCAGTTATTTTTTTTATTGCTAAAATTAAAAAACAAGCAAACCAAAACCCTAGGAATCTTTATCCAGAGAATGATGCTTTTTTAAAAAGCTTTGTTGCCAGTGTTCATGCCCTTTTGCTATGCAGGAGTCTGGATGTAAAGTGCAGATCAAGGGAACTTGTCTGTGATGTTTTTGGTGCAAAGTACTTTTTAAAGAACACTTAGAGTTCCTTTACTGCATCCTGCAGTTCGAATCTTGTTTTATTCTTTGGTAGGTTGTTTTACCGATGCCTTAAAAGTAAGTTGAATGGGAAGAAATGGTGTGCAAGCGTCCCATGGCAGGTATGAACGTTTCATTTGTATTATAGTGTCAGCTTATTCCAGCATGACTTTTCATTCTGTGTCCTGTCCACCTCTAAGACTACATAGTGGGAGAACTTGTATTTTCTAGCTGAAAAGCGTATCAGCCTGCTGTCTTCCAGATGAGACTTCTCTTACTCCTAAATTGTGTGAAGTAATCGCTGTTCTCCAGTCCTAAAAGAAACTTGGGTTTGATCTCTGGCCATCCTCTTTTCTTGAGGATGATGCTGTTTGGATTTGATCCCCAAAAAGCATGGGAATGGCAAAGAAAGCAGAAAACCAGCAGTTTTGTTTTGTTTTCCTTGTAAAATGTTTATCCTGATCCTGTTAAAATGATAGGAAAGAGGGTGTTCGTAGAGAATGAAGTCTTGCTTGAGATGATTAGATGGTGTGTATAGTTAGCAAGCTTTAACAATTTGTATGTTAGCACTTGCTCACTTGTATATATTGCAGGATCCAAAAGCTACCAAAGTGTCAAAAACCTTGGAATCACAGCTCAACACAGCACCTCTCTTTAATCCCAGCGGCCAAAGAAATCCGTTCAAAGTGATAGACAAGAATTGTGAACCATCATCCTGGAAACAAATTAAGCAAGGCAATGGAGAGGAAAGTAAAGCAAAAGGAGTAAAAGCAGAGAAAGAGGGCGTGCTGGTGTCACATAAAGAAAAGAAATCAACATCTGATTCCTCCATAGAGAAAGAACCTCTAGAAGGGCTGAAAACTAAAAAGAAGCAGTCCACAGGAAACAGGAATGATCCAGAACTAAAGGAAAGCACAGTGTCTGAATCTAAACTTGGTCTTTCTGAGACTTGGGGAGGGAAAAACAGCAAAAAGGAAGAGAAATATGGTGGCGGTGGCAGGGAATCCAAGAAGTCTTCTGAGCGTGTGGAGAAAGAGCCAGGCGGGAGATCAAAGCTCTTTCCTCTAAGTCTTGGAAAGCAAAGTACAAGTAGTAAGCCTCCAGAGGAGGAACAGCTCGGAGAGAAAAGCTTAAAAAGCTGTGGGGGTAAAGAAACCAGAGAGAAAGAATATGTTGGTGGGAAGAATGGAGAAAAGAAACTGATGTCCAAAGAAGGTGTGATTTCCCCAGCAGTACCACAATCTGCATTGCAACATACTGCCCTGAAGGGAGGAGCAGAGCCAGTGCCACCCAAGACACAAATCAGGCCACAGCTGGGACAGCCTGCTGATGAAGTCTCTGGCAGTGACACTGATGAAGTAGGATTTGTTTATTCCTCATCAGGTAAAAGTAAACCTGAGAAATCCGTTGAGGGTTTGCAGTCAAGAGAGGTTCCTTCAGGAAAATCAGGGAAGAGTATGGAGGGGACATCTTTGCCAGGAGCTGCAGCATTGCATCACGTGGAAGGATCCCAGGACCCTAAAGCTCTTCACAACCATCTTGTAGTCCAGCTGAAACAGAAGAAGGTTATTTATTGCACCTATTATTCCTTTTTTTTGGTTCTATGTTCAGGATGACTTCCCTTACTCGTGACAGGCATCAGAATATGGTATCCCCTCACAGCAGAAACTCAAAATACTTGGATGGTTTAGGAAGACAGGGCAAGGGAGGGAATTCAGCCTAGGCTAGTTGTTTTAAGCCACACAGGAGACAATTACTCCTAAGGTAATACAACCTTCTGCATTTGGGGGTGCTCAGTTTTGACCTGCCTGAGGTTGTGTCTGTCTTTTACCCAGAAAGTAATTTGCATAAGATGGAACAGCTTAACTTTTTTAAATAATGTGGATGTTTCCGGTGGTCTCTCTTGGCCTTGTGGAGTAAGAGTGATCTAGCCATGAAAGGTCACACTAAGAGGAAATAAACTACCTGTCTGTTTGCTTTTTTTAATAATTGCCAATAATTATGTTTCATAGTTTTTATTATAAAAACCCCTGTTTGCCTAGAGCTCGGAACAGAATCTCAAAATAAACAGTCAGAACTGTCGTTCCTGCTAGTATAGAAAGAAATGTGCAGGTAGATTGAACTTCAGGTGCTTTGAGAGATGTTAAGATTTTTGAAGTCACTTGACTATCTGTTCATCCTGTTTCATAAAAGGGGGGGGCCCCTGCATCCTTCCATGTCTTCTAAAGAACACTAATGGTTAGTTTATTTTCTGCTAAAAGACTGTTTAATCACACTGAATGGCACTTAAATGCTTTTGGAGATTGTAGAACAGTATCAAAATACAAATTACTATGTCATTAGATTAGTGTTTTTAAACTTCTGAGTTAATTGTTCTCTCCTGGCAGAGAGCTTGTGTCCTGGTTTTGGCTGGGATAGA